GGGAAAGAGACACTTTGAACAGGAGGGTCAGAGAAGACCTCCTTTAAGCAACAATTTCCAATTTTGGGATACCAGGAAGCTGCTAAAATGTGGTGTACTTCCAAGGGCAGAAGCTGTACTCGATCCATATGCATTCCAAGGCCCTGGCACAGAGCCTGGCACAAAGTAGCTGCTTGATAGATGTGGGCTGCAGTGAAATGAAATGATGCCAGAGATCCAGCCTGTGAGTCTGTGCTGGGGAGGGCTCTTCTCTGAGATGATGCATGTGGTCCCAGAAGAGCATTAATACTTCATAAAGCAAAAATATAGCACAGCAACAGACTGCAGCATACGTGGAGATACAGTTTTAGGGGAAATTCTCTGTGAATAAACACACAAGCTTGTAACGGTAGGTTTTTAAAAAAATGCTAGATACTCTTAGAAATCACTTCAACACAGAATGCACAATTTCAAAGGGTAAATTAGCAAAGATTGAGCAGTAGAAGCCAGAAGTGCTGATTAACCGAAGCCATTTCTTCCTTATCTCATTATTTTCCTAGCAGTGAGCCTTCAGCCAGCTTCAAACTGGGCTTTAATTTTAGACTTGTAAATGGGAGGTGTGCAACCACCTTTGCATGCAAATGGGGCAGCTGGATGCCCAATTACCTAATGTATATCAGCAGACATTGCATGTGTAGCCTAGCATGCATACAACGTTATGAATACAAAATCAGGAAACTGCCGCTAGAAATTAATCCCTTGTCCGTTGCATATTCTTTGTTCACCCTAAGAAATATTTTTCACTCCTCAATTGCCAGTATTGTTTAGGAACTTGCAAGCTGCAATTCTGTGGGTAGCACCTGGAAACTTGACTATGATGCAAGGGTGAGCCATTCTGCAGAGTCTTAAAGCTGAAATACAAGACCCAAGATTTAAATGCCACCCATAAAACTGCTGCACAATCTTTGATGTCTGTTAAAGTTGTCGTGTAGAGCTTCTCATCAGACCAGAGATATGACGACACTGCAGAACAGTAGTTTCCAACCTTTATTGTGCATTAGAATTACATGGAAGGCACTTTTTGATTTAGTAGCTCTGGGGTAGAGTCCAATTATTTACATTTTTATCAAATTCCCAAGTGATGCTGATGTTCTAGATCTAGGTAACCCACTTGGAGAACTACTGTTGTATATAAAGCTGTCTTAGAACATTTGCACTAAAAGAAAATTTAGAGATTCATAAGCCATTGATAGAGAGAGGTTGCATCAACATGTCAAAGATCGCTAGGTTAATTAGGCAACATTGCTGAGACTCAAACCCAAGACTTTTGCCTAAGATCATTAGCAATCTACAGTCATCTTTCAACTCAATGTAGAAAGCATGAAATCTAACTGTCCCTTAACTTCAGCCCTTTGAAAGACTTCCAAACCATGCAATCTACTTAACTGAGCACTTAACACACGTGCTATGTTAAGGGCTTATGAACAGTGAGGAGAGAGACCAACAACTTTAATGGAACATATACTTTAGGAACAATTGAAAACACCACCAGAATCTACCACAAGAACAGTACAAAAACAAGATAATGTAAATAGTCAGAATTCCAAGGCAGAGGAGATTCACAGAGACCCCTGAGAAGTAGAAAACTTCAGGGA